AATTAAGATGTCAGTGTTAGCAAGTGCAGGTAAGCAGGAAACTACATATACCACCAGTGCAGGAAACCTCTCTGCTAACTAGTAAGTCATGACCAGTGGCTACTACTAGAAAGATGTTTGTGGCAGTTTGTCCCAGGCCCCTCAAAACCTGGAGATCCAGACAGATGATCGGCTACCAGTAGAGATATGTGAAAAATTGTTCAAACAGTATTTCTATAATAAAATTGTTGGTGGTTCTCTCTCACGAGGCAATGTAAGGTAAAAACAAACTCAGTCTTTAATATGGTAAAGTGCAAGGCTATGCTGCAGTTTTGTCCAAGTTCATGCTATGCCTTTTGAACTTTGAAGCATGACTTGCAGTAGAATTTTCTCAGATTGCCGTATTTTCAGTGGTAGATCTGTGGGCAAGTTCTAAACTACCTTAGCTGAACACTGACCAGCAAAGACTAGTCTTTAGGTTACATACATACACATGATGCTATAATACAGGCTTTTTATAAGATATAACATCTAAGAAAACAAGAAAAATATGCAGTGTCATCTTAACAATGTGCATATACTTGAACAGCCAGAGCGCATATATGATTTAAGGCCTTGGTAATTATAGGTGGCCTATAAATATATGTAAATATTTCATCAGAATGTTTTGTCCTTTTTTCTACAAAGCGAACTTAGTGGCCAACAGCATAGATATACTAAAAATTAAGACAGTATTGACCAGTGTGAGAAAATACTTTAGCAGAATAAACAGAGCTGTTTTTAGTTCATCTTCTACCAAAGCCCTCTTTAGAAAGCCAGGCCTTTATGAGGCACTATTATGCATAGAGTGATGAAACCATACAGAACATTCTAGGGCAGGTGTTAAATTGACAATGTATTTTTGATGAGTGATTATTTTTAATACAAAGACTCGATACATGTTCCTGACCCAGGTGTTTTTGGAACAGGCTAGAAAATATCAACTTACTACTTCACCTTGGTTTTTGCTGGGCATACATTAGAAGTCCTTTTAATTCTCAATTGAATTTCAGACCTTGAAAAGTCTTAAGTGTTACGCAGAAAGACTTAAATGCTCTTGTTCTTGGTTTTGTTTTTAATGGATATTCTGTAACCTTACTCCAATGATTCTAGACTTGTAATTTTTGCCAAGGTGATAACATGAAACTTGGCATTTGTGTTTGAAGGCAAATGGCATCCTTAATAATGTGTTAGTATTCTGAAGTCTCCATGTGTATGCAGTTGCAGATTAGTCATAGCTTTAGTAGCTGATAGGCTTCACTAATTAGAAGTATCTCAGTAGCAAGGGGGATTTTAGTGCATAGTAAAAACTGAAGCTTTCTAAAGAGTTCTTAACTGGATTTTAGGAAATGCTTTAGCAGAAGCTTTCACAGATAAACTGAGTGTCTATATTTAATCATACCTTTAAATAAAAGAAAGGTAACACAGACCTTGCCTCTGTAATGGTTGTAAGAAGCATTGCTGTAAGGAGGCTCTTGTGCAATTAATTTTTAAGGTCTTGATTATTCTTTTATCAAGAATAAGACCTACATGAGCTTATTTTCCTTTCTTTCCTGTTCACTGTAATACTTCCTTAAATTCCTCAACTGTTTGAAATCTTAATGGGAAGGATGCAGTAGAGAGGAAGGCTTAGGACTGAAGCCAGGGTAACATAGTGGTGAGAATGTTCAGGAGAACTGGGTACTAGTCCCTGCTCGCCATGAAGCTCACTGGGTGATTAGGGACTGGTCACATACACTCAGCCTAACCGACCTCACTGGTTTGTTGTTAGGCTAAAATGGACAGGATACCCATGTAAGCCACCTTGAATTCCTTGCAAAAGGAAGAAAGGCAGTGTCTAAATGTAATCTGATGGTGATGATAAGCTTTGTGCAAAATTGGCATTTAGAAACAGGGTGCTTAAAAGTAATTTACAGCTGTAATAGAGACAGTTATATTCAATGTTAGTAGGCTAAGCCATTGAAATAATTAAAACTTAAGTCAGACCAACGCTGGATACAACTCAAATGTAGGAATAGGCTTTGTCTTAAGCCTTTTCATTTCGTAATAAATATATCACGTAAACAACTGCAAAATGTGAACATTCTGCATTTTTAATGTGTTACTTGCTTTAGGATGTTTCTGAAAGTGCTTAGAAAAGAAAAGATGACATAGATACTGGAATATTTTCAAATACTTTCTCCTAAGAGAATGGGCAGGTCTGATGTAGAAATTAAATGGGTACAGGTAGTCCCTGGGTCACAAACATCCAGGTTATAAACAACCTCTACTTAATAGTGTGTAGACTGTCATAAACCTTATAGGAAACTGTGTAATAATTAGGCAATGCATCATTGGTGGTAGCCTAGTTCCCTAGAGATACTTTATTCCCAGCTTTTTGTTCGAAAACATCAGCTTGAGCATACCCAATCCAATGTGTTTTTACAATAGTGTATACCAACACACACAGAGATTCTCTCCCTCTCCCCCCAGTACCTGTAGTTACTTTATTGTTACTGTATTATTATCATTATTGCAGTGGTATATTGTGTTTAAAATATTTTAGTGTGTTCTATGCATAGAAAGGTAAAACATATACACATACTACAACAAACATTTGGCTTTCATGTGATCCAACTTATGTACAAATTTGACTTAAGGATGTTCTCAGGAACAAAACTTGTCCACATCCTGGGGACTACCTGTATTTAATACACTTGGATGGGCATTCCTAACATTGATATGTCATAAAAATTTCATTATTTTATTTTATTAGCCAACTTGGGTTTAAAAATTGTTTAAACAATTTAAACAAAAATTTAAACAAAAACAATTTAAACAAAAATTGTTTAAACAGTGTTTAAAAATATTGAGCAAAAAAGAGAAACATTGTTGCCCACCCTGACTGTGTAATAGTATTTTAATTAATTTATAATATGTTGTATTAATTTATAATTACAATAATATTTAATATATGATGTTTAGTTGATACTGTCTTATCTAGTAAAAAGCCTTCAAGGTACAATATACATGTATAAAATAACATGTAGCATCTTAGTAAGTTGCATATTATTTCATTCATGAGAAAAGTTGCATGAATACTACCACAGGATGGTATTAAAATGCACATAGAGAAATGAGATATGATTATTCCTTATCAGGCATACTTAACTAATACAGGCTCTCTCAAAATGAAGGCATATAGCTAAACTTGTCTTAAACATTTCATTTATATTTAAGCTGAGCACATTCCAATTAAGGTTGTCTAGCAGTAAATGGGAGATATTTAATATACTCAGTGCTCTTGAACATGTTAAATCCTCACCTGTTTTTCTATTACCAGTCTACCCACTGTAAACAACTCTGTTCTGAAAGGATTGTCATGTTCCCATTATGTATGTTTGCATTTAATACACAGTTTGGACTTGACGCCTGTTCCTGTGCCATTCTTGATGGTTCCTTATTACCATTGATTCTGAGGTGTCCCCTTTCCATTTTAATAGTCAAGAAGCCAATTTTTATTATTCTGCCACAAATTTAAACCACTTTTAAGTGCACTTTATTTCCCCCCCAAAACAGTTTTAAGTTCAGCTACTCCAACCTGTTCAGATGTTTATAGTATGTAAGTTGAACATTGCATACATTTTGTTTTGTTCTGTTTTGTTTAGTTCTAGTCAGTAAATATAAGTCAGACATGCAAGCTCAGATCTCCCTCACTTTAAGACATCAGAAAATGTTCCAGATCAAACTTTTTTTTTTTTTTTTTTTTTTTGAAAACTAGCTTCACTAACTTGCACACTGTCTTTGTCCTTCTTCCCCATTACTGGGAAAGCTACAGAGTCATCTCTGCTTTAGTTTTTCATTCATTTGATTCAAGGATCTCTCACTTGATTAGAGTGTCTTGCTTGACTGATAACTTAGAGTGGGGGACCCTTACCACTCATTGAGTTTCAAGGCTGAAAACTGAACCTGATTTACCACATCCAAGCCAGACACAAGGTGCTGGCAGTTACAGATCTGAATGCAAAGAATGGGCCACAAACATTTTTGGATATTACAAACATTGCTGTATGGAGGTCCTGCAACAAAAATGTAGTGTATCCCCCGCCTAAACAGAATACCTTTTAAATGCCAGTCAGTCAAGCTCTTCTCAAGGATAGTCAGTTCTTAGTTTCCTTTTCCAATTGACATTCAGCATTCCACAGTTACTGCATGTGTTTAGTGCTAACTGGGTTTCACTTCCCTTGTAAATTTTATTCTGCTTTTGAGCAAACACAAGATTCCTCAAGCATATTGGTATCTTCCTTTTGCTTCTTAGTGACCCTGTTTTGGTACACTTTTTTGGCATTCAGTAACGGAGTAGGTTGTTAGAGGCAGAGATTTATATTCTTTCTTGGTTATATGCTAGTTGAGAAAGTGGTGACTTCAGATGTGGATTTGGTCAGGAGCAGTACTGCTGTAGGGGTGTGGCTAGAATTTTGAACTTCAGCTATAGAGGTTGGATTTTAAATCTCCGCTCTGACTTCAAGCCTTGTTAAAGTCACTCATTCACACATAATGACAAACCAGAGTATAAGTTGTCATTACATGTGAACTTGTGTTATGGTTTCTGGGGGTTGCTAGCCACAAGCAACCTAAGAAGAGAACCTGTGCTTCATTAGGTTGAAAACCCAGGGTTCTTCATGGATTAAAAACTCAAACTATAGTGTTTGTTTGACTACGTCATTACATATGACGTAAGTCAATGTCTTAGTCCAATGTACCTCCCAAGGTTATTATATGAAGATAAACTTAGGCTGCTCTTGGAGAGGTGTGTTACAAAGATGAACACTTTGAAGTTAATGATAAAAGGATATCATGTGAAAATAATTAGGCGTGTTGTAAACACTGACTTTCTATATAACTTCAATAAAAGTGGATAACATGGGGCTCCTAATATGATTTTGGTATTGTTTGGGCCCCTTCTTCTATGCTCACAGATACTTTTTTCCATCTCTCTTCAGAGAGTACTTCATGAATGCTTTTTGATGGAAGAAGACTGTCAACCAAATGTGAATTCTTCATTATAATACAACCATTTTTTCTCTCTTGCTTAATTAAAATAGGAACAATCCAGGTAGAATAGTTTAGGGGGAGAATGCTTTCTAGCCTGGCCTTTTACTTATTTTATTGAAAACATACATAGGAACAATAGAAAGACAGAAATTATTGTGATTTTTGTATCTTTATCAAATTGTTTTTAGTTCCTTAGCAGACAGGCTTAAGTTATAAGAAGTAAAAGAACTTTCATGCTACTGTTTTTAAGAAGGTCAACACAACTTTTTTAGCAACTGTAAAAGTCGTGAAGATGAACCTTGCATGGTAGGACTTCTAGGAACAAGTTAGTGTACAGTTCCACAATTTGCAAGACTTAGTGGGCTCGTGTCAGCCTCCTCTTTCCCTACTCCCCCTCCCTTATTGGAAACTGATTTGTGGCAGAAGATGAACAGAGTGGATTTGTGGATCTCACCATTAATCATGGTGTTTTTCTGAATGTTGTACAGATCTGATAAATACTTTTGAAATGTAATAGAGTTACACAACACTGTAACAAAAGAAAAAAAGTTTAATGAGGTGAATGTGCTTGTGGCTTTCCAAAAATGCACACTCCCTTTTAGGTATATTTTTTCTCATATGAGTGCAAAGAGCAATTAAGATGAGCAGCTAGAGGGGTAAAGGGTGCAGTCAGCACGAAGTGCGGCTTCTCGTGCTTCCTTTGGGACTCACCATTGCCACAAAGTTGGCATAGGTGCACCCTGAAGAAAAAAGGAACCTGAAGATCCAAGAAGAGTGCTAAAAGTGAGAGTGGACTGCAAAGGACAAACTGGGTAAGTCATTCTGATACTTTACCTCCTTATAATTATATGTAACAATGTGGTGTTGGCTTATACACAGGGATCAGGTTCATAGGACATACATTAATTGTCATTGATAGGTTATTGTCATGTCATACCATGGGTTATTCAAAATGGGCTGGGCTATTCAAATGGATTGGGCTTTTTAAAAACATCTCATGAAGAGAAGCCATGGCTTTTCTTGGGTCTTTTTGACCCACAGTGGGTTGTTGTGTTGTCTGAAATGGAATTACACAATCACCGTGTAACTACAATCTTGCTATTCTTGCCATTCTGCCTGGCAGCCATGATTGCTTATTGACCAGAGGTGCCCAAGTGGCACTTGAAAGTGGCTGGCAAAGACTTCCTCCTGTTCACACTTGGAAAACCAAGCTGGTTTTGGCTTGCTGTGGCCATTTCTAGCCTGGACAGCTGGATTTGGTGACCTCTGTTTAGGCAGCTGTGAGCTGCCCCCTCAAGGTGCTTCAGCAGTACCTTGGAGGAACTGTCCCCGTTTTTGTGGAGGAAAATGCACACAAATATCTGTGCTCATATTTCCTTTTAACCTAACTTGCAAAAATCAGGCAGGAAGGATTAGCACAAGGGATGCCTGTGGTCAGTCCTGGGCAACAGAAGGAGCGCCTGCTAACCAAACCTGCTAATAGGCTGCAGGTAAGCATTCCCCACAACCCTTTCACAGTTCATTCTCAGAAAGGGATCTGCTTGAGGCTTGCAAAACCCTGGGAGCGGGAGACCTAATGGTGAAATACTAATATTCTGTAGAGAAAACAAATGTACATTTCTTCCTTAACTTCATCTAATTCTACCAACATCAGCCTGCTGGTCATCTTGTCTCAGTTGAGAATACAAATTAACAGGAGCAAAAATGTTATATTTTGTGTTGGATCTGCGTCAAATTTGTAGACTTCCATTAGGTCTTGTGAAGACGCTTACATATTTTATGTTGGAAAAAGACTCTGTATTATCTCTTCTGTGTTCCTTGTTTTGAGAATTGCTGACAAGTAGGTATGTGGTGTTCTTGTCTTAGATCCTGGCCATGAGGTTTGATGCCTCACTTGATTGAAGAGAGACACTGGACCTAAATGGCGCAGCATGACTTTGTTCCTGCCTGGCTTAACTTCTCTACACCACAGTCTGCCAAGGTAACTATTGCATCCTTAGATCAGTCTCTTCCAAAATTCTGTTTTGGCAAGTTATAGTCAGATTGCCTTTTTGATTATAAGATACATAAATGACCTTATTAAAAATTTATATTAGTGGGAATAAGTTTAAGAAAACTTTCCTGCTATCTCAACAGGTTCATTGGCTATGTTTAGTCTGCTTTAAGAACACATAAATAGTGAGATGGTAAGAGGAACCTGAGTTAATAGCTGATTTGTCACTATGCCATCCTAAAAAGTACAGAGAGTGGCATTCTTAGATATAATCTATAAAATAGATAAAAAGCTCATTGGCAATTATCAATATATTAGTATAACATTAATTCCATGAGGTTTTTTAATGGAAATTAGAATGTTCATGATTCAGGCAAAATGTCTAAATTTGAAATGTATTAGTTATGACCAGAGTTTATTAGCAGTCAGAGTTCAGTGGACAATATAAGAATAGTAAATATAGGGTGCAATCCTATACATCTCTAGAAAGAAAAGGGCTTCTGGCTTCCAGTTTTCCCCAGCCAGCATGAATTGTTGACTTCCCTCTATCTAAACATGCATGTGGTTGCAGGTTTAATCAGCAAATGTGAACATCATGCAGAACAAGCATTATTTATGTTACTCAACTCTAGAACTGCATTTTATCAAGTGGCATGATAGTTTTTCTTTAGTACAATGCAAACAAACAGTGCAGGAGAAACACTTTTAGAAAATATTAAGTTTTTGTATAGCACATCTATAACAGCTTTAGTGATCACTAGACTAAGATCAGATCTGGTATCTTTTGCAAGAAAGATGATGCAAGGTTTATCAGATGCTTTATTGGAAAGCTCCAGTTGACTAGAATGATTTGTTACTGGAACTGATCAACAGAATTATAAACATGCATTATATGTAGATGATATTCTCCTTAGTAGAATGGATTCTTCGAAGCAGTGCCAGAAATTATATAGATAATAAATTTATATAATTTATATAGAAATATAACTAAAGTTAATGCAGAAGGCCAGAATGTATGAATATTGATCTATATGATCAGAAAATAATAATATGGAATTTGTGAATAAAAGCAGTGAAATGTTTAATAATTTTCTATCCAAAACAATCTAGGCTCTGTCTACTTGGCCATATAATTCTGCTGTTAGACATAGTAAATGCTTACTATTTTGTGGTTAGGAACAATATCTGTATCAAATGTATATATTCCTTGACAAGGTGTAGATTATATATAATTCCTAGACCAGATGCTGGTAATGTGGTGCCTTCTAGGTGTTGGACTAAAATTTCCATAATCCTTTACCATTGGTCATTTGGAGCCACGGGAATTGTAGTCCAAAATATCAAGGCCATCAAGTTCTCTATACTGCCCTAGACTGTTTTTGTAGAAAATGTGTCAGTTCCCTATTCCCAGTGAAACTCATAACAGTTGGCATAAATATGTGTAGTTATACACATTTCCAAAAGTTACTCTGAAACTTAATAGCCTTGTCACTGACTTCTATCATTCTATATTTACCTAAATAGACTACATAATGCTTGCATTGTTCTTTTGAAAATGGACGAAGTAAGGGCACTATCCTATGCATGTCTAAATGAAAAAAGTCCTACATTTCCCAGCATTCTCTATCCAGCAAGGATAAGATTGTGCCATTACTGCTCTGTCTGTAGCTATTCTGAAATAAAGAAAGCTGCAAAAGTAGATGATGTTCTTCCAGGCTGTTTTCTGATTCATTGAGCAGGAGTGGTTAAGGCACAGCTGTATTATAAGCAGAAACCTTTGTTTTCTCCAGCAAAATTAACTGTGGTCCAATTTCCACTACAATTTCCACAGTCTTTGAAAGCCAGTGTAGTATAGTCATTAGTATTGGCTTAGATCCAAGTTTTTATCCACACTTGGCCACAAAGCTGATTGGGTGACTTTGAGCCAATCACAGATTCTTAACCCAGCCTACCTCGTTGGTTTATTATGAAGATAAGATGGAAAGGAGGAGGATTATGTAAGCCACCTGGAGTTCCTTGAAGAAAAAAAAAGGCAAGAGTACTGCTATAATACATACAAATAAGTAAGTGTATATGGTAACTAGTCTGAAACCAATATGAACTTTGTTCAAACATATTGTATTACTTGTAGAGTTTCAGTTAGTACATCCATCTTGACCCTGCTGTTAAGATTTGTTTTTAGCAATGTCTTAAGGTACATACAAGAAACATTTGTTATGAATTTCTTAAATATATGCAGATTTATAGATTTTGTACTTTTTGCAAGTACAGTTTAGTGTAACAGGCATCTCAAAATAAGGCACAGAAAAAGTAGGAAAAATCCACACAGAGTGTAATATTGACCAAACTATGATTTTTAATCTTTTATATTAAATCCACTGTAACTTTTCATAAGCTTGTATCTTGAAGAGTCAAATTAATGTTCTGTCAACACCAGTTGCTATAATATTACTGAAGCTAAAGTTAGGCAGATGTAGCATACAGCATCAGTTTTACTTAATTCGCGTTAGTTTCCAATCTATTTCTAATTTAATTTGCTGGATCTTATAGCTTAGAACATGGTTTGGAGTTATGTTTCAAAGGATTACTTTATCCTAAACACATTCCCCTGTCATCCAAGGTGGTAGTTGGTAGGGAAGCAAGAGAAGATTTCTTAGTTTCTGGATCTTGGTTACAGAAATGGTTCCCCAGTGAAAACTGCCTGTGATTCTTGATGATAAACTGGGTGGTTAACGATGATACTGAAATGCTTTTAGTCATGCTGTATTTTGCCTAAAGCATTTTATGATGGGGGGGGGGTAATTTTCTTTGATTGATTTAGTATAACAGTATCTTAACTTCTTTTATAAGTAAAGCATTTGTTACATACTCTTACTAGTCCTCATGTGATTGCTGACCAGTTTTTACTTCACTTTATAATTTGGAAGTGTTTAATGTGAAAATGAGTCCCCAATCTATTGCACTTAGTCAATCAAATTAATGGATGATCATTTATCTTGAAAGGCAGTTCAGAAATCCATTATTTTTTTTAAACTGACTTTGTAGTTGACTAAACTAGCCTGCTGTGTTCCTGAATATAAAAACCTTTCTTTGGAAGACTTTTTATGGAAGATGAGTTAAAAGCCAGTGCCCAATGTAGTTTTAAATTACTTAAGCTGATCAATCTGTTAAGCCGTAGCTATAGCAAGAGAATTTGTCATAACAGTATATTTTAAAAGCCTTCCAATAGTCTCTAAAAAAGATTGCTAAATTACATTACTGAAGCTGGTATACCAACTTGACCTAAGTTTGTGGGAAGGGTAGTCATACTATATATCCTTTATATATTGCAGCAGAACAGCATAGGGTCCCTTGATAAGCTTCTAAAACCCATGTGCAGTTGACGAATGTACTTACTGATAAGACTGGAGTAAAAGCCCTGACATGTTTTGAACTCATGTTCCTTCATAGGCCCCTGGAGCCACTTTTGAGAAGCATGGGGAGCATCTTCCTCGGGGAGAGGGCCGCTTTGGAGTAAGCCGGAGGCGCCACAACTCTTCAGATGGCTTTTTTAATAATGGACCCCTCAGAACTGCAGGAGGTATTATAGCAAGAGCCAATCTAGGACTAGAACACACTGGGCAGTCTTTTATACTAATGGAGTGGACTGCTAGCACAGCAAGAACTACAGTTCCTGAAACAAGCAGAAGTGCTAGTTTCTGGAAAAGGGTAGGTCAACACAACTCCCAGAAGGGAGCTCTGCTAATCTTCCCTGAAGCATTTCCACCAGTTTCCAAGGATGTTTCAAGACCTGCTAGTTCCTGATGTACAGCAGGACAACAAAACTAGTGGATGTCCAACAGCAACTATTTTTGGATTATTAGTGTCATCCCTCTGTTAACTATTTCAAATGTTACATGCAAGGAAAGGGGTTTTTCAAAGAACCCAAACCTGTGTATTAGGAAAACGCTTGTGGGGTTTCAGCTTTCCCTGGATTTTTCTGTTTCTGGTAAGATTTAAAATCTTGGAGCACACTTACCTTATTAAAGTAGATAGTACTGTGATTCATGATGCACTGGAATTCATCTTAGGCTCTTTGCCTCAGTGCTCAAGTCTGAAAAATTATATATATGGGTAAAGTAAGTAAGGAACATAGTTCACTCACTCTTTATGCACCCTTTCCAGCCTGCCTTCTAGATGTTTTGGACTACAACTCCTAGCATTTCTGACCATTGGTTATGCTGGCTAAGAGTGGTGAGCCTTGCTGTCCAAAGCATAAGGAAGGCATAAGATTGGGATAGTCTTAATTAATGCAAGCCCAAGATCTGAATGAAATAGGGGAGGAGGTAGTACTGCATTGGTTTAGCATATTGTTGCACAGGCTTCTGTAATAGATCTGGTGCAGTATGGAAAAATTTAGGTAATATTTATTCATACAATTATATTATTTTACAGACTGCTGGCATCAGCCTTCCCTGCACCGCCATGATTCTGTGGATTCTGGTGTTTCTAAAGGAGCTCATGTTGGGCTAGCTGGCAGTCAGCCTGGCTGGCATGGTTCTTCACGGGGCCATGATGGCATGAATCAGAGAGGAGGAGGAAGTGGATCCCATCGCCACTGGAATGGCAATTTCCATTCCCGAAAGGGTTCATCCTTTCAGGAAAAACCAGCTGCTGAGGCCAGAGAGGAGAAGGAAGAAAAGGAGAAGCTGCAATTTGAGGAGGAAGACTTTGTAAGTATAAGTAGCATCAACAAGATTTTCAAACCCTTTTTTCCCCATCCCTGGCAGTGAAATCAGACCGAAGGCTGATTTCCTCTGTTTTCTGATTTGAATAAAGTACAGTACAGCTAGTCCAAGGGAAAAGTTTATTAAATTGGGCTACAACAAATACATTCAAGTAAAGGACACCAACAGAAAGAAAACAGAAATAGTATTTCAAAAGATCCATTGTAGCCTTGACATGGAATATTCCTAATAGTTTCTAGGTATCTCTGTTAGGATAAGGGACAGCTGACGGCTGGCAGAAACTTATATTAGGAGAAACTTCTACATCTGAAGGACACATGACCATGTGAGCCTGAGTACCTCTGGGAACAGAACCTGGTTACTTAGGTTTGTCATGTACATAGTGGGTTTTTATACCTCTCTAATGAGTAGAGGTCCTGCCAACCTTGCAGTTTGAAAGTATGTAAATGCAAGTAGATAAAAAGGTTCCACTTCGGTGTGAAGGTAACAGCATTCCGTGCACTTCGGTGTTTAGTCATGCCGGCCACATGACCACGGAGACTGTCTATGGACAAATGCTGGCTCCCTCTGCTAGGAAATGGAGTTGAGCACTGCCCCCTAGATTCAGACATGACTGGACTTAACGTCAAGGGGAAACCTTTAATGAGTAGGGGACATAGATTGCTTCACTTTCCTCACCTGCTAGAAAGAACAATTACAGGGAGCTTCATAGTTAGGATTATGTCAGTTTCTTAGTATATGAGAGAGCAGGCACCCTAAGCCTTCCAGAAAACCAAGAAGCATCTTAAAGTTTCTGGGCTAATTATTTGGTTGACAATATCCGCAGTTTTCATACATTCTAAATGAAGATGTTTGGGAAATGTTAGTCACAAATTATGAAATTTAAAACCAGTACCTTTTAAAGGCATTATATGGACAGGAAATTGATTTTTGCTGAGATATGTAACCTAGAATAATCTTCTTTAACAGACCATTGGAAAGTAGCTGGTGTGACACAAGTTATAAAATGATAATGACAGAAGCGGCAAGGATCCAGTGATTTCAAATTTTTCAGTTTACATGGTCAGATTTGGTTGAAAATATATTTGAGACTGCATTCTTTACTGGAAATTTATTTGTGAAATGTTAGTCACACATTCAAGTAGAATTGTGTACAATTATGGTGTGAGCCTAGAATTGGCTAGGGAATGATCATCATGGTGTATGCAGAAATGTTTCTATAGAATTCAAGTTTTCAGAGTATTTAGAACAGGTTTAAGGAATGCTTAAAACTGAACTGTTTGTTAGAGCACCCTAAGCTATACCATCCCATACCAAAATTGGCATGGAATGCCTATAGCTTAGGAAGCAAGGAGGGCAATTGGCTAGATTTTAAATGAAGGGTGGAAATATGCTGAGAATAAATACTAGAAGTTTCACACTAATGCCTCTGGGATTCTGTCAGAATCTGAGTCATAAGCTGCAGGATGCTAGACAAGAGGCATCAGGACCTAGGCAAAGTGGTATAAGTCTAAAGTCCAATCACCAGTTCAGTAACAAGTCCGAGTCACAATTCTTAATAGGCCAAGATCAAGCCAGAGGTGGGTCATAGAGCAAGGCATAGTCCAGTAGGAAAAATGTAGTCAGGGCAGGCCAGTGGTCAGCAACTGGAAAGATAACACAACAGGGAACTGGTACCTGGGAGCAGGATAACAAGGAGGGGGTCTAGGAACAGGAAGGTGAGGCAGACAAGGTTAAGGAAGGAAGGTGAGATGTAGCAGGAACAGCAACAGGCAAAGATCCAAGAGGCAGGAAGGCAGGTCCATGAGCAGGGCAGGGAATCAGGCATCAAAATCCAAGTAACAGCTGCAAATCAGGAAGCAGCACAACAAGCCAGGAAGACCATCATTGCCCAGGCAGAGACAGGAAGAAAGAGCTTATACTTGCATAGTTCTCCCCTCTGGTCTCCCAGCTGGTGCTCATTAGGGTCTGAGAGCTCCATCAGAGCCAAAGCCCTAGTTCTGCACTCATTCCTGTAACTAGCCTCATTCTGGCAAGCAGATGGAGGTGCAGAGCAGTTCAGATCCTGACTGGTTGCCCCTTTGAATGAATATATAGCACTTGTTCCCTGTTGTCCTGAGTGCAGATTGTTTGGGAAAAAATGTTAGGTTAAATGTTCTAATGTTTCAAACGGTGTCAGTAACTATAAGAATCATATGCTTAGATAGCAATATAAATATGGAGAGTAAACCTGTGTACCATAAGAGGATTTTCCCTTGTATTTTTATAGCCATCATTGAATCCAGAAGCTGGGAAACAGAATAGCCAGAGTAAACCAGTTGGGACGCCATCTGGTGTTTGGGGTAGGCATAAAGGCATTATTTATTATGATTATTAATAATAATTAATATTAAAAGCATTATTAAAGGCACTGTCAAATGCATTATTTCCTGAAATATTATTGGACCAAAATAGAAATCTTACTCTCAATCAGTTTATGTCGTTATTCAAACTTGGTAAGCCTTTTTTCCCTCTTCATTTTCTGTTACATCTATGTAAAGCTTTGGTGTTAGCTGCTCCAAGTTTACCTACTTTTAATAATGGCAAAATAAGATTATAAAGGAAGTGACACAGCTACAGTAGTGTGGCATTCTCCCTCTTGTCATTCTGCCTAGTTTTACAGGTGTAACAACAGCATTAAAAAGTTGGTTCATAAGGCAGACAATGACATGCACTCAAGAACTTCATGAAAAACTATGTAAATCTGTATGAAGAATACAATTTAATTTATTTTTTAATTTAATAAAACATTTGTATCCCGTCCTTCACAGCAGTATCTCAGGACAGCTTACAAGTTTAAAATGAACAACAATAAAAACAATCTATCATACAGTATACAATAATAAATAATCATAAAATACAATCAATAATAATAAATATAGTCAGAATTAGAATAAATAAATCACATTACAAAAAAGCGACTGTTAACTTGATTTCTAAAATCCCTAATTCATAAAATTATGATCAAATAAAAAGGTTTTCACCTGGCGCTAAAAAGAGTATAGGCTCGGTGCCAGGTGAACCTCTCTGGGAAGCACATTCCACAATCTGGGTGCTACCGGAGCGAAGGCCCTACACCACTTAGACATCCTCTTTACCTCCTTCAGGGAGGGTTCCCGGAGCAGGGCCTCTTCTGCAGATTTTAAGGGGTGTGAGGGCATATAAAGAAGGAGACATTTCTTCAGGTATTCTGGTCCCAAGCTGTTTAGGGCTTGAATAATATTCATGTAAATAAAAAATATATTAATGTAGATCATCATGGTTCATTTGTTAGTTTCCTAGTATCTAATTAGAGTGTAGAAGTGATTCAAAATAAAAACTGCAATTGTAAGCACAATTAAGTACAGCAAAGCAGCATTGATATTTCTGCATGCAAGACTGTGCTATTAAACACATGTCTAAGTAACATCTAAGGCAGCCTAAGAGTTGCATGGTTTGAAAGGTCAGGTATGTATCAGTCATATTGACCTTACAGGTCTGAGTTTAAAGAACTATCAGTTCTGTGTATCAGACATGGTCTTGACCTCCAATGTGTCATATGAAGACATATATCGTAAACTTAGCTGAAAAGTAAACTTGTTCTATTAATTTTTTAACTTCCAGAGCAGTATTTATATAACCTGCATGCTAAGCTAATATTAATCCACTAAGCTAATATTTCCTATTTGAGCAAGAGCTATTAAAATGTCTAGGCTGAGAGATGGTAACTGCAATGACTAAGTTTCTATATGGATACATAATAAATATAAACATTCTGAGTTTCTCCCCCATCCTGAATTTATTAGAAAACCCTCCTAGTGCCAAGCAACCTACCAAGATGCTGGTCATCAAAAAGGTTTCAAAAGAAGATCCTGCTGCTGCCTTCTCAGCTGCATTTACGTCAGCAGGGCCTCAGCTTTTAAATGGCAACAAGGCAACCACCATTGTCCCAAGTGTCTACAAAAATCTGGTTCCTAAGCCTGCAGCACCACCTTCCAAGGTATGCAAGATTTCTCTGAATAGCACTGGTAGAGTAAAGTTTAAAATCTGTTGGCTGTTCTTAAGAACATTAGATTATGCTATAGTGTTTATTAGAATGTATTGTTACATATATGGAGGTAAGGGATTTTAAAAAGTGTAGCTTTGGTTTATGTCCTGTAGGCCCAACTTTCTTCTCTTACCCCTGCTCTGGATGAAGTTGTGTCTTTTTAATATCTGCTAAGAGGGGCTGTTATGATTGGCTACTTTCCAATTGATATAGTAAGAACTCCTGATTTTTGAACCTTGTGACTTAGTAGACATGCAATGTGCTTCCTTGTTACTGTACATCTTTCTGCTTTCCCCTCAAGTGTGCCTGGCTCATCCTTTGTTCTGTCTCTCCTTTGTCTTCATCTAAGGCAGGGGTCCTCAAACTTTTCCACCAGGGAGCAGCCGGTTGAAAGCTGCCAGTGCTGGGTGTGGGCCAGAAAAGGGGTGCTGGCGTGTGCAGGGGTGGGGCGTGCAGGTGCGTGTGTGCGCCGGCGAGGGAAGGCAAGGCATGGGCAAGGGCGGGCACACGCCTGGCGCACGAGGCAGCGGCTTGCTCACTTGAAGATCGTTTTCTCTGAGTGAGCAAACTGCTGCCTCCCCGTGCGCAGGGTGAGGTGGGCGGTGGCAGGCCGTAGTTTGAGGACCCATGATATAAGGCCTATAACCACTTAGTACAATGTGTATAAGGTGACAAAGATTAACATTGCTTCATCAGACCTTACCATTTCTCAAGATAAAATGGCTTGTCTTCTATCCTAAGGCAATTGGTAACATAGGTTTGGTTGGGAATAATACATAAGCCTTTGCTTTGCAGCATCTATTCAGTGGAAAGGTGCCTGAAACAACTGCAATGGAGCTGCAGGGTATTTTGTTGCTTTGTATGGTATAAATGGCAGGTCTATCTGTTTGTCCATCATGAGTCAAATATTTGAAAAAAGGAGTTGACTTTCACAACCTTTTGCAGAAGTCTTAAGTTCTGAATGTAATACTGAATTGGGTTAGTTGGTACAATGTGCAAAGCACGAATATGAATTTTGGATCGTAAGGCAATCTTATTTTGTTGCTCTAGATGATTGTTACATATCATCTGAAATAAACCCTTTTTTAGACCTGTAGCTATTATAAGACATTTTGTATGGGTCCACTCTTCTGCAGTAGAAGCATTATTTTAATTGCTCAGTTTGGGAACAAGTACAGATTTCTAAAGCTGTGATTTCTGAAAAGAAAGTTTAGATAAATTCAGTGTTGATTTTATGTGGTTTGTTGTTGCCTAATGTTACTCCATTTGTTATATCCTTCTCATTCTAGCCAAGCCAGTGGAAAGGTAACAGAAGTGAACATAAACAAGGCTCACTCACCTCCAGCCGTGATTCTGCTTTTACCAGTCCAGTGTCTGTAACCAAACCAGCTGTATTGGCCAGTGGCTCTGTTCTTGCTTCTTCCAAAGAGGTAAATACATAAGAAATAAAAACATTAAGAAAAGGAACTAACATGAAGGCCAAATAACATACTTCCATCACATTACAAGTAAATTCTTGAAGATTTTCATCTGCTGGGCAATATAGAAATGTAATATATTAAAAATTCTCTTTCCAGAGCCCCTCTAGCACCACCCCTCCCATTGAAATAAACTACTCTCGTTTGACAAAGCTGATGCGACGCACCACAGATAAGAAGAGTGAGTTCTTGAAGGCTCTGAAAGATGACAGGAATGGAGAGATGCCAGAACGCCATGAGAACAACAAACTGGAGGATGTAAGGATGCAGCCTTCTCTTACTATCTGGAGTATTAAAACAATATAGTGATGGGAATTTTAAATGTGGGGAAATTCCCACCACCACACTAGGGTTTTTGGAATCTCTATTCACATTCAGGAAATGAAGCTAAAGAAGATACAATAAGGTTACTATCGATAGTGTTGTATAATAGTGTTGTAAAACACCATACAGCAGCCTCAGCAGATGGGGAACCCATATAGATTGCGGATTGTAGTATGTAAGCATTCAGCTTGGAAAACTATGCACACAGTACCCGGTTGAGTATGAGTTTCCCTTGTTTGATTGTTGTACTTATTAATAAGACTACCTTAACATTTTAGGAAATTATACTTGTCTGATGGAGAGGTCTTGAAAAAATAATGTCCTTATAAGAGAATCATATTAATGACAGGCAAGAAACCTAGAGTGCATATCAGTTAATTTGCTGAGAACACATTATACTTTTGCAGTGCACTGTTCTGCATTTTCGCTCAAGAGGTCCCACTCTTTTTAATAATATGTGTTTTTAGGATTGGAAATTTCTAGAGTGATTATTTCATGCCATGGTATGAAAGTGCTTGAGACTCACAAAATGCTTACTTCATACAACACTCTTCACCAACTGGATGCTTTCTGTTTCCACCTCTTGCTATGTTTGGGTTTGAATATGTTTCGAGCTGTTGCTTCTACTTGTAAGTGGGATTCTATCCCATATTTCCCATTGTGAGTGCTAAGAGAACAGTACTTAACATGAGCATAGTTTTGACTTTTGTTTTCCTTTACCACCAGATGGAGGGAGGCAGCACACCAGAACCAAAGGAAAACTGGGAAGAGAATTGCCATCAGAATGGTCTTTCTCTACCTTTGGAAGAAGGGGAGAACCTTTCTAACTCATTAGAAGCAGAACACAGGTGAGTGAGGAAGACAATTGGCCAGGAGAAACCATTCCATCAGTATTGGATAGAAATTTAGTGGAGGAAGTTTAGCCAGCAGTAAAACCAGATCCTGTAACTTCTTGATGTGCTAGTAGCAGCATGTAACATTCTTTCATATATTAGGTGTCTATTGTTTGGTTATACTGCTGTTACAGTGTGATGTGTTTCCTGCATACCTGCAGTGAATGCTCATGCAGTGGGAGGATCAGTGTGATTAATGTTGGTGGAAGGCAAGCAATGCATTTTTTCCATTCTTTGAATAGAGGTGTGTTATTTCAAGGAAGATAGCAATAGGATTTCCTGACCTTTCCCCGCAGTCATGAACCCATAATGCCAGAATGTTTACACGGAAGCCATTTTTAGTCTCCTGAATGTTTCAGAGTACCACAGTGGCTTCTCAGCCTTGTGGCTTGATCAAGCTTGCATAAGCCTTTGGTTAGGAGCTGCTCCCTCAGAACAAGCAGAGGTGGTATGCTGCTTATGAAGAAGAGAGAGGTCTATTTGCTTTCCACCCTTGCATAGTCCCTGCCAACAGTGATACTGCTTTTAGCACAAGGTGGAGAGAGGCCTTTCTCCTTCATTTGCTTTAGTAGAGATAGAGACCAGTGGCTTTGCCTAAAGAGGTGGCTTTGTCATGCAGATCCTGCCCTTATCTTGTCAAGGACTTAATTTTCATGTATAATACAATAACTCAAAAGAGGTTGCCTGGGAATAGTAGTTTTCTTACTGATGAAAGGACACAAGAGGTGGAACTGTCTTCAATTCTTACCTTGGTGCTTTTTCATCTTCCTACTCCATTTCATGAATGTTTCACTTAACCTTACTGCCCAGGTTTCTTCCTCACAAAATGTTTCTGCTTTTGAAGAATAAGGTAATACTTATTAAGCAGAATACTCAAACTATTCCAGTCATCATTGGTGAGCCTAAATAGGAAAGCTGTCTATCTCTTTGGCCTTTGTGGCATTTTTAATCAAATGTTATTTCCTTTCTGTATCTCCACTCCTTTGTACTACTAGATTATTGAAAGCAATGGGATGGCAGGAATATCCTGAAAATGATGAGAATTGCCTTCCCCTTACAGAGGATGAGCTCAAAGAGTTCCAAATAAAGTCTGAGCAGGTATGATCTATTGTACTTACCTTATGTTCTCTCCATATCAAACATTATTTTGCTTTATAGGTCATATCTTACATAGAATGCTGCAGCAGTTATCGTATTTCACATATATAATTGTTCATAGCTAAACAATTTTGTTCTATCTGACAATGTATAAACCTTGTATATATAGTCAGAGATTTCCATTGTGGCACCTGTATGGTATCTCCAACAGCACCCATGAAATTTTCCATTTCCTCCTCCCTTCAAAAAAATATTTCTAATAGAACACTTGGAAAAGTTAGGGTATTAGGTTTTATGCCATGTTGGTGAGCAGTTGCTCAGCAAACAAGATGGGAAGGAAAAAGTTGCTTCCTTGTTCCATTCAGTTCTTTGTGGTCTCTCTATATTCACACATGAGGGCTTCAGCACCAGATCTAGACTGAAAAGGAAATTCTACACCCTTAACCTTGCTGTTCCTTCTCTGCCTAACCTCACTCTTTGTCTAATTCTTTGGCCAGCTACTTTCTCTCTTCGTCCCAGACTCACTAGTTTTCTCCTTCCAGTCACTTTTGATTAGCCAGGCCTGCACAGCAGCCATTATGTGTCTAGTCCCCATTTTGTAGAAGTGCTCTCACAGGCGTTATTCAAATGCTTAGAAGTGCCTATGGTTCAAAAAGCTTGGGGACTCCTGATTTGTGAGTATAATCTGTTTTGAGCTTACTTGGATGGAAATGAAAGCAAATACAAACACTTTTCTTCTTCTTCCAGCTAAGAAGAAATGGCTTTAAGAAGAACGGATTTTTTCAAGGCCGTGGCAACAGTCAACTGTTCTCCCAGTGGAGAAGCACTTTCAAGACAGAGTTTGAAGAATCAGATACAGAAACAAGTAGCAGTGAAACTTCAGATGATGATGCCTGAAAATGGGCACCAAAAAACACATTACAAAACCAACCCAGCAAACTCAGTTCAGTTCAGCACATAAATGTTTGGGGTTCAAACAAAGCAGAGTTTATTCTGTCTCAAGTCTGTTCAGTTTCTTTTTATCGTTGAAAACTTCATGCACAAGGGAAAAATTTATATCCCAAAGAAGAAAGCTATTGGCTTATTACTTTTTGGTTTTGCCCTTCTGTGCTTCATAGAGAACAGTCCATGCAGAAGGTGACCCATGGACTTCTTGGGGCATGGCCTAGGATCAGTCTCATCAGACGCAGGATGTAAGGGACTGAGTTGGGCAACCACAAGCTTCTCATACTGCCGTCCACATAGCAGAATGCTGTGCGGCAATAATGTGCTAAAACAATCATTGTCAATGACAAAATGGCTATGGAAGTTCTAATTGTGTTAAATTAATGCTAATAACATGGAACTTTTTATTATTATTTTTTTGGCGGCTCGGGAAGCTTCATCACTTAACCAGGCGTGTTTGTTTTTTTTTTCCTTTTTTGGGTACAGCTGTAAAATATTTGGATATAGGAATTGTTTGTGTTCTTCTTGCAACCTTGATATTCAGGGTGGATTGTAAAATATAAATTTTTGTGGGATTTCAAAGATTAAGATTATTTTGATAACATTATTTACAGATTTAAAAAAGTGACTATCACATTGAGTCTGTATGAGGGGGAAAACTACTGCATCAAAAGATAACTAACTTGGAATAAATATTTTGCATCAGTTTGCCAATTCAGTGTCTGTTGTTTCTCAGGAATGATGGTAGTATGAATAAGGCATTTTGGATTCTTTAAGTCAGCGTTTTGCTTTGCTTTGCTCTTTGCATTGCAGCTTCTTAAAAGCAAAGAAGAGAACCGGAATAAGCCTTGATTTACATTTTAAGCAAGAGGTACTAGTTGAAAATTTTTGCTTGTTCCATGTTGAATCAATCTGAAGCAGTTTTATATCACAAAGCAGGGACATTTGTTAAACGATGAACAAGAATAGCTAATGAGTAATGGACAAATTAACACTGAACACAGAGCAAGAAGGACACTGATAAGTTGAAAAATTTCTGTTTAAGATAAAATATAGGGAATTCAAATCAGATATCCTTTAGCCTGAGACATGGTTTCATGAGCATCCAGGTATCCACAAACTCAATAGCATGTATTTTGTCAAAGAAAAAAGCTAACCATTTTATATGAGGAATCAGAGGAACCTTAGATGAGAAAGTAGAAATAAACTGCTCTTAACTGAAACCGTTTTTGAGCTGTCACTTTCTATGTGCCATTGGAGTTCTACATCCATAGCACTGAAAAGGTTTTTATGAACACTTACTTTAATTTGTCTATGCCCTGAGTCTTTACAGACAGCTGCCATTCATAAATTCATGAATGGCTGACATCCAAAGAATTGTCTAATAAGTTTCTTGTGCTCAGTAGGTCTTTGGCCATGAAGTTACTCTTGCTACATGGCAGGCTGCACCTGAAATGTGAGTCTCAAAGCACTCTGATAAACCATGAAGGCCTACAGTTTAACAACAAACTTAACTCTGCCCAAACTTGTTCTTTGGATTAAAGCCAACATGTACATATGTATCTATAGAGTGTGTGGAAATAAGTCTATCAGCTGTTACACTTCAGGGGTCTTGCACATACAACAACTATGTAAAACTGTAGACTGCCAACTAGGCAAATAAGATGCTATGCAAATATTCCACATACTGACGTCATAGCAGAGGAATATCAGATCAGGAAAGGACACTCTTGTGATGGTTTGGGGTTTATACAGGGTGGCACAGGGAAATGGGAAATTTTCAATTGACATTCAAGAATAAACGCATTACAAAATAAATTTATGATGAAATGTACAGGATATGTAATTCATGATGGTAATCAGTATTCATTCAATATTCATTTTATGTCTTGAAGATAACATATAATGATGGCATTGTCCATTTCTTCGTACACATTCTGACAGCCTGTTGTGGAAATTCCGTATTGCTCGACATAATATGTCAAGTGAAATGCCAGCTATTTCCTCTTCAATCCTCCTTTATAGTTCAGCAATGGTTGCAGGATGTGTGCTGTACACTTGGCTTTTAAGATGTCCCCAGAGAAAAAAATCACAGACAGCTCTGGGGATCTCGGAGGCCATGGAATATCACTGTCGTGTGAAATGATGTGCCTTCCAAACAATTGTCAAATAGCTGCCATCGGTTGTCGGGCAGTATGTGAAGTGGCTCTGTCCTGTTGACACCACATGTTTTCAATATTCAGATGCGCAAAGTTTTGCAACCTCAGCACAAACAATTTTTCAAGCATAGCAACATACCGATCGGATGTAACTGTGGTTGCAATGCCCTCCTCATTTTCAAAGAAGGGCCTATGACACCATGTGATGACACAGCCCACCATAATGTAACCTTAGTGCTGTGTAATGGACGCTGGTGAAGCTCAAAAGGATTTTCCTGTGCCCAGTAATGGAAATTCTGTTTGTTAACATATCCATTAAGGTGAAAATGGACTTCGCCCGAAATCCACAAGTTGTTAATGAAATTGGTGTCCTCGTTTACTTCAGCCAACAATTGTTCACAACTGTTGATGCAACACGTGGTCATTGGGTTTGAGTTCCTGCACAATCTACAATTTATGGATGAAACTTCAATTTGTGCAGTATTTTTTGTGTGCTTTGTCACCCCAAATGTAGTGATGATGTGTGTTGTTGAACGGAGCGGTGAGGGCTCCTCACAACGGCAGCTCAAACATCCTCTACATTCTCTGGTGTGTGGGCCATTTGAACACCACCTGGGGACTTCTTTTTTAAGGTTGAACCTATTTCTTCAAAATTACGCACCCACACTATAATTGCATAAGCAGCCGGGACACAACGTCCTAACTGGTAATGACACCGAAATTCCCTTTGTGTAGCAGTTTCACTAGCACCATTCTTATAAAAGGCTTTTATAATGAATGTTTGTTGTGCACCACCCCACTGCTCCATTATAACTAATGGCAAGGGGTTCTAAATGAGGTTGCACTGGTTCCAAATAATTGCTGATGCCCCAGGGTCGCCAACTCCTAGCTCCAAAATTTCCCATTCCCCTGTGCCACCCTGTATTAAAGAGATTTAGAATGCGCTAAGAACAATTGGTAATATGGCTACATCTACTTGGATTTACTTCTACACTACATTCTCTCTGTTTTCAAATGCTTATGGACTGTGCCACAAGAACTGCAAAGTAACATCTGCTAGAAAGTTTCACCAGAGATGGAAGGGTCCTCAAGCAAAGTATTGATGTGACATAATTGGACCCTCGGTTGGGATATTTTGTGGTGCCATGTCTACTATCACAGTACTTCTTTAAGGAGCAGGGGGGTGGCGCACAGAGATGGTACTAGCTAACTAAAATTGGATCTTACATCAGTAGTACTGGGATGACAAAATGACACTGTCTAGGATTTGTTAGTATGCAATGAAATAGGCAACCAAACATCATGAAGTGCTATACTTGCAGAATTTCTCTTCTATAAAACTTTACAGCATCCCTACATTATTACAATCGTAATACTTACACATGTTAAGCTCTTTGCAATGTCAAACTATCTGAAATTGTAACATTAAAATAATGTGTGTCTTGTGTGGCTTTATGTAATTTTCTCCTAGTGATGGGAGGAGGGGTGAAGCAAGGGAAGTTTGGACTCAGAAAGTAATGACTACTTTAAAGAAACCCTACTGCATCTTTTCAAGATGAGAGGAATAATGATCAAAATATAATGAGTTCATGCCTGGGCCAGGTCTCTGACAAGAGTCTTATATACAGTGCACTTAAAAGACTGAATTACCTAAATCCGTTTTGGTCAGGATTTAAGCTGTGTTTTAGCACAGAAATAGCCTTGGTTACACTGTATGATGACATATGTGGGGAAGAATATCCTTTTGGCTACTACTTGATCTGTTGATGGCTATGGTATCCTTCTGGAATAACAATCAAAGCTGGGAGCAGAGGGAGTACTGCATTACTCTGGTTTCACTCCCACTTGGATTAATGGCTTCAGAAGATGATGCTTGGGAAATAAGTCTTGGCCTTGTGGACTCTCCATTATGGGTTGCAGCAGGGAGTAGTTCTATCCCTCATGTTGTTATTTAACATTTGTATGAAATAAGGTCATAAGGAGTTCATTGGCATCAGTATGCTAATGATGCCATTTTTCATCTTGAAAAAGTGAAGCTGTTGATATGCTAGATTGGAGCCAAGCTGTGATAATACACTGGATAAGAACTAATAAACTGAAACAATCCAGATAAGATAGAAATACTGCTGGTGGGTGGTTCTTCTGACCAGATGGAGGCTGTTCATCCCTTTCTGGATGAGGTTGCACTCCTTCTGAGGAAGCAGTTATGTGGCTTGAGGGTTCGATAGTCATCATTGCTACTTGAGGTTTTTCCTGTTGAATTTTTGAAGTAGGTTAAAATTTTGTGTTCAACTCTAAAAGGTAAGATTTATAAGCAATGAGTTCTTAGCCATTTTTGTACACCAGGATACCCACTTTCTCCACTGATATTTGACTTGTTTGGAATCCCTGCCATATGCTATTAAACAGAACATCAGTATCACAGCTTTGTTCATAACTGTTTAGGATATAACATTATCCTTTGTGCAGATGATTTTATGTTTTGCAACTCCAGATATTAATTCTCACTGTGATGCAATTGATAAACACTTCTGGTAACTATGGTTATTTAATTCTGTAGAAACCTGTATGTTTCTAGGCCTAATTCAAGATGCTAGTCAGGACTAAGCTTTAGGACAGCGACATCTGACTGAGCACTTCTAGTATGAAGCTGCAGTTATATTACTGTTAACATCTAGGGCCCTCCTCTGAGGAAGATTCAGAGAATGGCAACAAGGGTTATGGCCCCAACTGTGGAATGTTCTCCCCAGTGAGGGCTGCCTGATACCAATGTTGTCAGCCTTTCAGCACCAGCACTTTCTTCTCTTCCAGGTGTATAACAGTATATGATGAGGGAGGATTTTAGTGTTAAGGGGTTTTTGTCAAGTTTTGTAGTTTTATTTGTGTTTAACTGTTCTAAACTGAAGTTTTTGTTAAAAGTCATGCATTCTACACTGTGTTAACTGCCTACAGAGATTTAGTTATCAGGTAATATATAAATGTATTGAATGAGTTACAGAAGATTCTTGCTTTCTCAAGCTAACAGTAGCCTGTAGAAATACCAAATGTAAGAGGGCAGATTCCAAGAGGGTGTCTGTCTGGATCAGCTGTACAAAAAACTTAGCTTATGGCCCCTTAAAAGTGTAAAACAAGTTTGCCGGCAAATGCTTCTGATGCATGTAGCATTGCCCTTGGTAAATACACACAATCAAAATAAAAAGTAGTACAGTAAACTTGACACTGCTATGTAAGACTTGCTTGTATACAAGGAATATCAGCATGGTGATGATCTACTACTTCCCTGCTTATAGCAGGAGATAAATCCATGATCTCAAATTTGCCAATAAATCCTAGTTCAGTCATTCATGCTGCAGTCTCCCTTCAGACTTTTTTAAAACACATGTATGACAACTTCTGGGGTCAGCAAGTACTTATAATTCTAAACTGAACTGTTCTCCCACTGGTTTCCATACTTTTATATTATTCTGTCTACATATGCCAATATTATTAGGTGATGTCATATTGCTTTGGAGCATGAGACATCACAAAAGTCCCTAATCAAGCTATAGAGTTACCTGGGAAAGTATGGGATCTGAAATGGCAACTGGGTTTCTTGCAGGGCTTCGTATCTACTTGTGTGTCTCTTATGCCGACTAATTGCTGGTAAGTAGCCATTTTATATCAAGGGGTTGTCTCTGGGTATGGATAACCCTACGACTCAAAGACTTCTAAAAAATCATATAATGGAGCAGTTTCATCGAGGACCTACAAATGGTAATAAGCATAGCTCTGCCCCCTACTTTTCTAGACACTGTAACAGGCTACTTTCGTGTACCAGTTTAGTTTTGCGTCAATCCGTCTACTCGCTTCATTCTAATTTAAAAAAATATGATGAAAATCCTTTGAATGAACCTGTATCTTTATCAGGTGCGCGGTGAATCTGTCATAATACTGCAGAACTGGGGGAAAGCACAGGTAAGAAGTCTTTCTTCCACACAAGCGCTGAGAACCAAGAACGCCGGCACGTGCTCTTCCCAGTGACATACCTGCGTGGTGAAGCACGAAAGTCCCAATGGATTCGAAGCTCCCAACCGATGCAGAACAGTAGTCTATTTACCAAGCTGCATCAATAACTAAATACACACAGCGGGTCCTATACTCAAGGCTGTCGTGTAACTATGACTCAACGTACCCCAATCTTTTTCCTTACCCTCACCCTTTCCTTTCCGGGTTACGCGCGTTCGTCCCATTTTGAAAACTGTACGACGCACAGAGAATGCGACACGAGACGTCGAAACGAAATTACGCAGACGGTGTTATCGCGATATTTGCCGAACAAGAAATCGCCCCGTGAGCCTTTGCGCCTTTCTCTTTGCTGTCGGCGCCTTCGGGTAGCGATGGGTAAGTGGCTCGGAGGATTGAGGGAATTTTAATATCCGCTCCCATCCGGGCCAGGTTTCGGTTCTGTGGATCTGCAACTCGAGTAACGGGGAGAGGGGCCTTTGCCCAACAGTGAGCTTCGGTTATTGTCGGCCGAGTCTCGCTTTTTGTGTTGTGTCTGCGATCGCGGCCTCCCTTGGCCTGGGCCTTGTTGTCACACTGGCCTGCAAGGTAGGAGGGGCTCTGTGCGAAATGAAGCTTTTTCCTTGGGCAAAGCGCCCCAGATCCTCTTTCCTCAACTTGTTCCTCTGTCCGGTGTTCCGATGATGAAGCTTCTTCCACTGCTGCATTTGGCTGAGTACGCCATGCGGAGACTTGTTACCTTGGAGAGCTGAGTGACTCTGGGCATATCAGACTTTTCCACGCGAGTGTGTGGGAGGAATTTATTATACCTGTTGCACTCTCCGCTTTATGGCTTGATATTTCTACCCATCCAGGTATCTCCAGGGACAACTGGCACAAGCGCCGCAAGACTGGGGGAAAGCGAAAGCCCTATCATAAAAAGAGGAAGTATGAGTTGGGCCGACCCCCTGCTAATACCAAAGTATGTGGTTTTGTTTTTTGGTGAGGAATGCATGTGTAGCCATTTTTTATCTGTGTTTAAAGAGCAGACATTATGGCCAAAAAATGTAAAAAGGCGATTTTAAACTAGAAAGTGTAAGTATGCTTGCTGAAATAATTTTAGCCCCATGCTAAAACTTCAGTGCAAGGATAATTAGTTCTTGAGTAGCCTCAAAAATCATCCTAGAGGAAATAGATTATGCTAGTGCAGAGTCATTTTGCACAAAGGATAAATTGGGATGGATATAACAAATGACTTCTGCTTAAATTGTCTTTTACACACCTTGGTGTATCCTGAAGTTTAACAGTTTTTCAGAGTTAAGCTTTATATCTGTGGATAATAAACAATTATTCTCTTACATTTGTCTGTGTATGAACCTCAAAGAACCTACTTCACATGCATGCACTAGTGTGTGTAGGTTTAGTGGAATGTTTGACATTTAAACAGCAAATTCTTACTGCTGCACTATATCACAAATGGTGTTTAAAAGTACCATCAGCATCAACAGATGGTTATCATGGAGCATGGGGAGGTAAGTGCAAAGTCTAGAGTTTTCCAAGACATGCTGAACAAGGATCCAGACTACTATTCTCAGATTGAGAGGCAACTGGAGTGATGAAAACTATGCCTTAGGTGGGTGCTGAAGACTGTTTTGGTTTTCATCACACTCACCGATGCAAGGGGTTGTCATAGTTACACTGACCATTTTGCTATCTGGCTTGGTACTTGTTTAAAAAAAATGTGCTGTGTGCCCTTGATTGTGGCTCTTTCTATTGCAATCTTTGTTGTAGATCGGTCCTAGAAGAATTCACACAGTAAGGGTGCGTGGTGGAAATAAAAAATACCGTGCTCTGCGCCTGGATGTTGGAAACTTCTCTTGGGGATCTGAATGTAAGTGCAAAGTGAATATGTGACAAAGATGATATCTTATATTGATTTTCCCCAATTTTTGTCCTCCAGATGTTTTGGACTGCTGTTTCCAGGCTATTCAGCATTGGACTGGCATGGACTGATGGGAAGTCCAAAATATTTGGAGGGGATCATCTTAAGGAAGGCTGCCTTGTGTGGTGGTGCATAGCTCAGCCAGCACAATGAAAAGGACACTGATGATTAGTTTGTGCTTAAGACAGTTTTTGTGAATTTTTCAGTGATACAAGTGTTATAGTTATCCTGAGTTTGTGTACTTTGTTGGTTCAAAAGAAATGTTTAAGTGTAAAGGGACTGCAAACTACTTGTATGGGCTTGAGGTAGTTTGGAATGGTCATAATGGTTTGAAAGACTGCTCTTCAGTGATCAGGAGGAGAAAGCTATAACATCTCTGCATCTTACTACCATGGGCAAAAAGGTAGAAAAAAACATACCTGGCAGAGTTAAGAGACAATTCAGATGCTTGTATTTTTAATATCTGCTTTGATGTTTTATATGCAAGATGGCTTGCATAATCATTTCCTTTTTTTTCCTTTCCACAACCATGTGGGTTAGGTTAGACTGAGAATCAGTAGCTGGACATTTTACACTGAATTGATATTTCATTGGTATTTTGAAGGTTTTCTTGAACTTTTAGCCTCACTCCTGCTCAGGCTTACTTGTGAGACTGTCCACTTGCATTCTTGCTGTTGTTACATGCTTCTGTTTGGTGGGTGTTTAATATTAGCTGACTGCAGAGTTTGCATTTTCTTAATATTAGGTCTGGTCATTAAGACTTGGTTGGGATTAGGCAGCTGGTTCCCATCTTTCAGTTAATTGGTTCTATAGATTGTGTTGGCTCCATTATAAAGGCAAGGAGTGTACGTAAATGTATGAAATTAAGATTAAGGTGTAAATTCTCAATTTCTTGTAAAATTAACTTCTAGTTGCATTTATAAAAAGCAGGTATAATACTGTAATTTCCAGGTTGCTCATTCTTTTTGGTGCCACTAACACAGCCTGGTGCCTTTCAGATGTGCTGAACTGCCAGCTTCTATTAATTCGGAGTCAGTGTAACCACAGCTGCTTCCAATTTTTGATGAATTGGAAGTCCAGGCAAAATAATTTATACAGGATAAACTTGTGTTCATAGGGTCAGAATAGTAGAGTTGGAAGGGTCCAGAAGGCCATCAGGTCCAACACCCAGCTCAGTGCAGGACACCAAGTTAAGCCATTCCTCTCAGATGGCTGTCAGGTTGCATCTTGAATGCCTCTAGTGTGGGAGAGCCCATAACTTCCCTATGTAATTGATTTCATTATTGTACTGCTCTAACAGTTAGGAAGTTCTTCATGATGTTTAGCTGGTAACTGGATTCCTGTAACTTGAGCCCATTATTCCATGCCTGCACTTTGGGATGATGAAGAAGAGATCTTGGCCTTTGTGACAACCTTTCAAGTACCTGAAGAATGCTTTCGTGTCTCCCCTCATTCTTCTCTTCTTGAGGCTAATTATGCCCAGTTCTTTCAATCTCTCTTCACAGGACTTTGTTTCCAGTCCTGGATCATCCTTGTTGTCCTCTGAACCATTTCCAGCTTGTCTGCATTTTTCTTAAACTGTGGTGCCCAGAACTGGATGCAGTTCTCCGGATGAGGCCTAACCAGGGCTGAGTAATGAGGGAATACTTCACTTGATTTGGAAGTTATACTTCTATCAATACAGCCTAAAAGATCATTTCTCCTTTTTGCAGCCACATCACATTGTTGACTCATATTCAACTTGTGATATACAACAGTTCCAAAATCCTTCTCATTTACAGTATTGTTGAGCCAAGTCTTCTACATCTTGTAACAATGTGTTTGGTTTCTTTTTCCTAGGTGCAGAACTTGGCATTTGTCCCTGTTGAATTTCATTCTGTTGTTTTTAGCCCAGCATTCCAACCTATCAAGAATCTTCCTTCTGTTTTCCAGGGTATTAGCTTTCCCACGTAGTTTTGTGTCATCTGCAGATTTCATAATCGTTCCCTGCACTTCCTCATTGAAGTCATGAATGAAAATGAAGAGTAGTGGGCCCAGGACTGAACCCTGCAGTGCTTTACTTGTTACCTCTCCACAGTTTGAGAAGGTGCCATTAATGAACCCTTTTTGAGTCCAATTTTCTATAGCCAAATGTTGGATCCACCTGATTAGTGTTCCATATAGCCCACTTTTAACTAGTTTGCTACTCAGGATACCATGGGGCACTTTAGCAACGCTTTTGACAAAGTCAAGACAGATTATGTCCACAACATCAGGGAGGCTTCCCAATCAGAAAGTGAAATCAGATTAGTCTGATGGGGTTTGTTCTTGCAAAATCTGTGTTGGCTTGTAGTAATCACTGCATTGCTTTCAAGGTGTTTGCAGACTGACTGGTCTATAATTTGCTCCAGGATTTTCCCAGGAATTGAAGTCAGACTGACTGGTTCTTTTTCCCAGGTTCTTTTTCTTTCTTGAAGAGAGGGGCAATATCAGCCCTTTTCCCCTGTCCTCCATGATTTCTTAAAAGATAGTAGACAGTGGTCTTCAATACCTCTAGGATGTAGTTCATCCGTCCCTAGAGATTTGAGTTCATTCAACCCAGTAAGATGATCATTGACCATTTCCCTATCAATCTTGAACTGCCATCCTTCTCCTTCAGCTTGTACTTCCTCTTCATCAGGAAGCTCATAGATCTTCTGGGAGAAGACTGAGCCAAAGTAGAAATTGAGCACTTCTGCCTTTTCTTTGTCATCTGTTATAATTTTGTTGTCCACATTGAATAGTTGAACCCCCATTTCTTTCCTCTGTCTTTTACTGTGGACATATCTGAAAAAGGCTTTTTTGCTGCTTTTAGCATTCCTCGCTAGCCTCAGTTTCCTCCTCTCTAGCTTTCCTGGCACCATCCCTGTAATTCCGTAGGAACATATTCTGGGAACCTAACAGTCTATTTTCAAATTATTTACAAGTTCTACACTTCCCTGTGTTTTATAAATGTGATGCATTTTGGGAATGGAAGCAGACAGCTTCATTGCTTTTGTTCTAAAAATGGAAACTATCCAGATCCTGCAACCTTCAAAATTAAGTAGGATTTATGAATTTGGCATAATGTTGCACTATGAACTTGTCTTTTGTTCTTGGAAGACAGTAACACTCCCTTTTTCTTACAGGCTGTACCCGCAAAACTAGAATCATTGATGTGGTGTACAATGCATCAAACAATGAATTGGTGCGCACAAAGACCCTGGTCAAAAACTGCATTGTACTCATTGACAGCACACCATACCGGCAGTGGTATGAATCCCACTACGCCTTGCCCCTTGGGCGCAAGAAAGGTGCCAAGCTGGTATGTATAGACTGGGTTGATTATGCTTGGTTTGCTTCTTTCCCTTAGGGATTCCAGATGCTTGACGTGACAGCATCCTTTGTTTTTAATACTTCCAGTTACTGTGTGCTAGAATTGGGATATTTGTCTTCTGGTGATGATAACTTTGTCCAGTTCTGCTACTGAATGGAGTGCGATGACAAACTTATTTATCTGAAGAAGGCCTGTGCCCAAGCTCTACATGAACCTTTGTCCATTTAGAGTTGCCTTTCACAAGCTGGCACCTTCTGGATGTTTTGGGCTACAACTCCCAGCATTTGTGACCATTGGCCATGATGGTTGGGGCCAATGAGAATTGGTGCCCTCCAGATGGTTTGAACTTCCAACTTAGGGAAGGCTGATTTATAGAATCACATTACAGATTCATGGGAACATATGTCTTAAAGAAAACTCAGAAGATCAGCTTAATTCCTGTTTGTGAATATGTTTCTAGCAGTGGCTCAATGACATATTACAGATGTGGACAACTTGTGGTCATTCAGATGTTTGAGCCAATGGTTGAAGTCATTTTGAACAAGTAAAAAACTTGGTATAATATTGCTATGATGCTTAAACTCAACCAGTTTTACTTTTTGTTGTTCTTTCAGACACCTGAGGAAGAAGAAATCTTAAACAAAAAGCGTTCAAAGAAAATTCAGAAGAAGTATGATGAACGGAAAAAGAACGCAAAGATCAGTAGCCTTCTGGAAGAGCAATTCCAGCAAGGGAAACTACTTGGTGAGGCCCAAAAGTAGAAAAAAATGACATTCCTTTGCATAGAGTGAAAGCTGTATTTGCCCAATAGGTTATTATGTGGAGGTATACTCCTCATTGATATAAAACACATTTTCAATGCAAACCTTGCTTGGCATTATGGAGAGGATACTTTGTTGGTTTAACACTAGGCATAGAAATTAACTAAACTTGAATGATTATGCTAGATAAGTGGTGCAGTCTCAACCTAGTGAAGATTGCCACTCATGGAAGAGTGTTAGTTTGAAATTGAGATACCACATTGTTCTCCTGGATGATTAACTGATGAAGTTGCTGCTATGATGAAAACATCATCCAGTTCTGCTATTGAATGTGAGTGGCGACAGTTGAAATGCTGAAGGTGACTGCATTCTGCATTCTTAGATAGGCACTGCAACTTAGTAGGTGGAGGGACCCCCTGAGTTCTGTTAATTCAGACCTGTTACCAAGCGATTGGTTAAGGTTTTGATTCCCAGAATTTATTATGTATTAGTGGATATATACATGTATAATTTAGATTAGTGACTTCCTGACATGAAGTTTGACAAGATGTATCTTGCACTTAGTACCTTTAATTTTTATATACCTTTATATAAAATACAGACATGCTTCTTTAATAATGTGCTTCATTTTGCAGCTTGCATTGCCTCCAGACCTGGACAGTGTGGCCGAGCAGATGGCTATCTTCTGGAAGGCAAGGAATTAGAATTCTACCTGAGGAAGATCAAGGCCAGGAAAGGCAAATGAACAGTTGCTGCACCTAACAAACTAAATAAATATCCCAGAGTCTTGTTAAAAATTATTCATGTGGTTATTTATGGGTATTGGAAAGAAGATTCACATATACATTTTCTAGCCATTGTAGTTAAGGAAGAAGAAGGGTGGGGGAGAAAAGTAGAAATTAAACTTGAATCAGTAGACCTATCATGGACCTCTGAGTTCATGTGTTGAGTAAGTTCTGTAAGGTGCAGGAAGGGGCTGTGATCAGCAGCATGTGGTTGTATTCCTCAGTACTAATGCTTTGATGTGTATTAAAGGTTACAGGTTCTTACTAATTATAGTTTTGGAATAGCACTCTGATAGCACAGTGCAAATGAGTCGTGCTGTTACCTGTCCTACTTCAGCTACAGTGTAAGCTTGGAAGTGTGCTCTTGGAAATACCTTGCTTTGCATGGACTTTGTACAGGTAGCCAAATACACTGGAAAATATGAACTGGCCATCTCCAGATAGACTGTGTTTCTACTGATCTTGTTGCATGCATGGTTTTGAGTAAAGAAAAGCAGATACTTTTATTTATAGCTTGATTAGCGCAGTATTTTGCATTAGCACAGAACCGTTGATGCACTTCTAAGTGACCAACTTGTCTTTTTCGTGACTTCTTGGTCTCATTCCAGTGCAAGATAAATTCCCTTCTAGCAGAAGGACTAGGCTTCTTTCCAAAAGTCTGGTCCTTTCGAAAGCTGGGAACAACCTCCTACTTTCTAATGTGTTAAATTCTACTTTTGGAGGGAAAAGCCTCTAAATACAAATGTGAGTCCAAATTGATAACTGTAAATATCAGGTATAACGCCCATTCTCCAGTTGAACATAAATAATGCAATAGATTTCCACAAGAGTTTGAGGTCATGTAAAATGAATATACAACCATTTACGTATAAGCCATCAGGTCCAACCCC